ATAATTAAACAATTTTCTATAAATTTATTTAAAACTAATTCTAAATGCTGCATATGTTCTTTATGATCTTTATTATATACCAAGATATTGTCTATATATACGCAAATAAATGGAAAAGAATTAAAAATACTATTCATCTTTCTTTGAAAAATAGAGGGTACATTCTTTAATTCAAAATGCACGACTACCCATTCAAAATATCCTAGTGATGTAATAAAGGTCGTCCAAGGAATAGAATCTTTTGCCATTTTTATTTGTCAGAATCCAGATTTATAGTCAAATTTCGAAAATATATTACTATTTTTTTATTTTATTTATTAACATGTCTTTATCTAGTATCTTTTATCCATCCTCTACAGTATTATCATTTAATCTTTTATAATTTATAATCATTCTTGTTTTGCCTCTTTTAAGTTCACTGTGATTTCTAACAATAAAAGATGTAGATCTATGTTGACTATTGGATTGTCTTATTACCTTTAAATCTAATAACTCTTTAATCTGTATATTAAAATCTTCTATGTCTTGATTTGTGTGTTTAATTTCTGTCATTCTTATTTTTATATTTTCGTTAATAATTTCTAATTTAACTTCAATTTTATTTTTGTCCGAGTGTTTTATGGGGTCTTTTCCTATTATTTGTATTTTTCAGTTAATTCTATAATTATATCAATATTATCTATCTTAGATGATGTTTTGTTGAAAATTATTAATTCTTTGGTTCTTAGTATGAAATCAGTTTTTGATGTTTCTAAAGATAAATACTTTAAATATTCTAAACTTTCTAAACTGTCTAAATTATCTAAAGTTTGATCTTCTGGTTCTGTTTGTGAATGTAAGGGTCCACCACGCTTCGGTCGTAACTCCGATGAGCCTATAGTATTAATGATATAAGTGTCTTTTTCAAAAATTATAACATCATGTATGATTGTTAAACTTTCATTCCTACTTAATAAGAATTTTAGTCCTATAACAAATTCATTTTTTATTAATTCACTTACTAATGTAGTTGTTAGATTATATTATCTTTCTTGAAATTTGATTTTACAATTATCAAAAAGTCTTTGTTCAAATCTCATTTTACTACCATTCATTTGATTTCCTCTTATTTCATATTTTAGTTTCTGCCTACAATCTTCTAGAACTAAATATCTTCTAATTATGTTAAATGTACAACACGTGTCTATTAAAGCTATTAGATTTAGTTTTATTATTTTATTTATCTGTATTTCTATAGGTATTCTAAAGCTTTTAGTTGGCCTTACTTTAGAGATTTGACAAATTATTTCTTCTTGATTTTCTGTTTCTAAATAATTATTTTCCGTGAAATTATCTATAGGCTCTTTTCCTTTTTTTTCTAAATTTCTAACCTTATATTGTATCTCTCCTATAATTTCATATATTTTATTTATTCTATTGTTTGTATTTACTAACTTGTCCTCTAGTTTTTCTATATCTTCACTATAGTCTTTAATTTTATTATTAGCTTCTTCTTTAATTCCTAAACACTAATTACATTGAATTTCTAAGCAATTTTTACATTGATTTTTATTTTTATGTTTTGGGTATATTTTACAGTTCTTACATTTATCCATCATTGAACATTGTCCTTTGACCTATTCGTGAACACATTCATGTTCTATATTCATCATTTTTGCATTGAGAATATAAAATTATAATTCCTTCAAACTGTCATAACTATTTTCAGAGCTACTTATAATTTCCAAATTGTCTAATTCGTCATTTGTATAAATGTTATATATACTGAACTATAAGATTCATTATCAGACAACTCTATAATGTTACACTATATGTCCTCAATTATTATGGATTTGGGTACTCCTTCATTTTTATACTTATTAGGGCATTTATTCGCAAAATGTCTAGAATCTCCACATATATAACATTTACAATCATTTTTAGTTTTTGGTTTTCTAACATATCTATTATAGTTATGTTTTTTATTTTTATAATATTTTCTACTTAATCTAATATTATATTTATTTTATTTTGATATTGTTTTCTATATTTATGTTTTCTATCCTTTTTATATAATTTTTTCTTGTTCTTCTATGATCCTAGGTCTGTGGTGTATATAAAACTGAGCAAAAAAAAAAAAATTAATTTCTTTATTTGCTTTCTAGTTATATCTTCTATACAATATTCTTTTAGTTTATCTGTTATAAATTTTATGACAGCACTAATTGTTACTAATTTCATTGGTCTTGATTCTAAATCCCTTCTAATTTTATCATTCCAGTTGGGTGGTATCTTTCTATATAATATTTCAAGTACACGTACATCTAGTATTAATCATGTTGTACTTGCTAATCTTTCAAAATCTAATATAAATGGTTGTATATATTTCATATTATTAATGATTAATTTTTCCAAATCTTCTAAGGCTTTATATAATACTTAATTTTTCCAAATCTTCGAAGGCTTTATTTTGTTCGTAAGTGTTGTCTTTGCTAGGATCAGATCCTATAATTAATTCTCTGATAAAATTTGTAAAATTTCTAGGGTTATCTTCTCCGGTCTTTCTTAACCTAATTTCATATGATTTTAATCTCTTATATATATATATATATTACAGTCATTTGTATTGGTACACTAATATATGCTCTAATTACAAAATTTTCTCATTTAGTTATAGTGCTAGGTCTGTCTTTAAGTTTACAAATATTTAATTCTAAAATTAATCCTCTATCACTTGTTATTGGTAAACACATCATCCTTCTGACTGTCTTTTTCCTAGGCTTTTATATCTTCTATCTTCCCATTCGTATTCTCTAGCAAGGGGGAAATTGTTTTTACCTCCTATATCATATTTAGTGTTCTTGGATTCTTTTATTTTTCTAAATTCTTGGTTTGTTTCCCTTTTAGTTCTTTTACTGGCTTCCTCCATATTGGTTTCTATATTTGCTTGGTCTTTTCTGTTAATATTCTAATTTCTATTTCTCTAGCTTTTCTAATATTTCTATAATATTTCATATCTATATATCCAAATTCTTTTTCATCGTCTTCACTTTTGTCCTCTTCACTATCTTCATTTAAAGCATTAACATCATCTTCACTTTCATAGTCTTCTATTTCAAAATATCCACATTATCCTTCATCTTCTTCATTATTCTTTGTCTCTTCTGCTTTATAGTTATAATTTCCAAATCTAATACTTAGAGTTTCATTACTATTTTTATACATGATATTATCTTCTGGTACTAATGTCGGTCTTTCTAAAAAAATTCCCAAATTCCAATATAATATTGCATTGGTTTCCGAAGAGAGTTTCTTTGTTGGGATAGCTTTTATACATTTTTGTTCTAATAATGCAATTATTTGATTATTTTTTAATTTATAGTTGCTAGTGCTATTTTCACTAAGTCTCCCTATGAATTATGTGCAAATTAATAAATTATCTTCATCTCTTTTCATTTGATATCCTTTAGTTTTTATTCCTATTTTAATATCTTTGTAAAAAAAATTTGTTCTAACCAAATAATCAGGTGTAAAATATATTATGCTTCCTAATAATCCTTGTTCTCTGTCTGTAAATCTATTATCATATAGACATATTAATACTTTAGCTCCTGAATTTACTTTATAAAGTCATTTTACTCCTATCATTATTAATCATAAATGAGTCTATTGAAGATTTTTATTAACAATACATTTATAGGATTCTTTTTCAATTAAATCTAAGGATATAAATTGATCATCATGTGTACAAGAAACATATTTTTCACCATAATATTGATATATTAAAGATTTGCTAACATATTCCATTTTTTATATATATCTAAAGCTTTTACTAATTTTAATTTATTTTGTTTGAAAGTCTCTATATGTTCATCTATATTTATTAGGGACTCTAATCTTCTTCCAAATTCTGTTTTTCTACATAACGTTCTTAATAAAGAATTACCAACTAATCTACTACTACCAGCTATAATTTGTTTTCCTTTATCCATTACGTATAAATCCACTTAATCTTCTTAAATCTAGGGGTGGGCGCGGGTCGGTTCGGTTCGGTTCGATTTTTTTCGGTTCCAGAAATTTTCGGGTATTTAGTAAATGGAACCGTCGGTTCCAAATATAATTTTGGAACCGTTCGGTTCCGTTCCGTTCGGTTCCGTACTATAATTAAATTTTTTAACATTTAGAATAATACTACATAAATACACCTGAAAGTGGATACCAATATTAATAACAAAAAGTAGATACAAATATCAAGTTCAATCTTAACTTTTACAAATTAACATAATCTAATTTAATAACATATAAATAATAAGTTGTCAAATACAAATACCAAAAAGTAAATATTACTAATAAAACTTCGATATTCATATCAATAATTC